ATATCCTGTGAACGAAAGCTATAGTAAAACAAAAAACAATACGACTAATTTCCTGTTTACCTAACACTATAGTTATAGAAAAAAATTACAAATATATTTTATATCATATCCTTGTTATGGACAAAATGACAGATATCCTGTATACAAAATATTACTAATGGACAATATAACATGATTCCTGTATATAAACAATACTAGTTTTGGACTAAGATAGATATATTTTAATCAGATCCTACTTATATACGATGTAACAGATATCTTGATAACAGAATCATAGTAATGGACAATTTGACATTAATTCTGCATATTAACTCCTAATTTTGGAAAATCATACAGATTTATACTTGTATGCCAAAACTTAGAAAGGGTTACTTTATCATATCCTGTATGCAAACCCCTAGTAATAGCTTTCCAACTCCTACTAATAGACAATATAACTGATATCCAATATATCGATTCCTAGTAATGAATAATATGACTGATATCTAGTGTACCGACTCCTACTAATGAGCAATATGACTGATATCCAGTGTACCGACTCCTAGTAATGGACAATATGACTTATATACAGTGTATTGACTCCTACTAATGAGCAATATGACTTATATCTAGTGAACCGACTCCTAGTAATGGACAATATGACTTATATCAAGTGTATTGACTCCTACTAATGAGCAATATGACTTATATCGATCTAGTGTACCGACTCCTAGTAATGGACAATATGACTTATATCAAGTGTATTGACTCCTACAAATGGAAAAAATATCACTATCGTACGGCGACCTATAGTTGTTAACATTTATTTTTTTAGTCTCCGGTGGATATCAGCTGTCGCATTGGCAATTATACCACATCCCCTTATTTTATATAGATGTAATTTCCGTTATCAGGGGACAGTTACGTCATTTTGTGTGTATTCTTCGTTAAAATATCGGTACGCCTTATGAAAGAATCACTAGATTGATTGATTGTTATTTGCCTAATGTCCATTGGAAAATGTTTCATCCATGTTTATGACGATAACAAATTAACAATAAACACAAAAGGTAGGTAAAGCAACCAACAATCAAATAATCAAATAGGAAGGCCCAGTTAGGTAGGAGTCATAGGATGAGTGGCGGGAAATTTGTACTGCACTGGTAAATGAGAGGAACATACGACAGGCTACTTACGGGCCTCTCAGAGAGTTGTTGCAAGAGTTCTTTAACTTTAACAAGCGTAGGACTCTCTACAAGAGGCATCAGATTAAACGTCGATCCTCGTTCTGATCCGACTTGGCTGCGTATTTATACATCCCGTACAGCCATATGGACGGCCCACTTTAGCAAGAATTTCACTTCCTGATTCTTAAAACATACTACGTATGTGTATCGTGACCATCATCGTTGGGAGATGGCTTCATATGCCTTTTTAAGCAGAGTTCACGTCAATTGAAAAGACGTTGAAAAAGAGAATAGAAAAATATATTCCACTAATGTTATCGAATATCCATAAATCATTTCAGGAATTCCGAAAATTTTCTCATATGATTTTCGCTATCATTTTTTTTATTTTGTAATTTATTGATATGTTTGTATGCTCCGTCAACGATGGTCACAACAACTTGAAACTTAGCACATACGTGAAAATGCGAGTGGGGCACAGTGTCCTATGAGCAAATATTCTAGTTTTATACCTAAACAAAAATGCATATGCAATGATGCAAATATATTTTACTTAAAATTTAAACAAATATGTGTTCAAGTAGATCTAGTCAATAACTCGCTCTACTTACCACTACTTTTCTACACTTTACACAAGCATTTCCCATTCAAAACTTAAAGACAAATTGAAAGAGTTGGTCCTGCTTTGTTTCGTAAAAAAGAATGGCCAACGTAGATATAAGTATCTTGTCTTGGGGAGGGATAAATCGTACTTTGTAAAAATTACTCTAATTCAAACAAAAAATTCTCTGAAACTGAAATTATCAAGATGCTAGATTTCTTGATTGACAACATATTTGTTTCGTGTGGTGGACGCGTTTTCAACAAACCATCGACATTCCCATGGTAACCAACTGTGCTCCTCTTCTTGCCGACTTGTTCCTTTCAGCTTCCCAATTGTGTACTTTCCATTTCTCTGTAGTAACATTCCACCAGCGCCTGCATATGGGGTATATATATCTCCCAGTTGATCCGATATTCCAGGGCTTGCGTTTCCTATCATGATTTCCTTGATAAAGGGTTGCTGCTCAAAAGGAAGCTATTAAACTAAGAGTTCCAAGTGGTGAAGTTGAAATCATCCCTTTGAAAATTTTACGGACGCCATCACGAGTTGGTTGACCGATATGGAATATCTTTTTCACAAATGACAAAGGATATGTTCCTATTGTCGTTACCACAATCCCATCATCCTTTTCCCCGAATGTGACCTACCGAATTAGATTTATCACCGTTTTTGTACTTGCATGAGCAACACGACGGGTGCCACATGTGGAGCTGGATTGGTTTATCTTTCCGGGGCATCTGATAAAACCCCCGGATTTTGGTAGGGTTCGTGTTGCTCAGTCTTTAGTGTTCTATGTTGTGTTTTGTATACTGTTGTTTGTCTTTTGGTCTTTTTTTTTTATACTTATGAATTTTAATGTCCCTTTGGTATCTTTCGCCTATCTTTTCCAAAGTTTTCTATGAAAAAAATTAAAATACTCTAAAGTGCATAAATTAAATGATAACCTTATTTTTTCCCTTTCACGATGCTTCAGGGCCTCCAGTTTCCTTATCCTTCTTAAGAGTATGTTAAAATTTTAAATCAAGAATCAAAAATTACAAATAGATTTCGTATTTGAATTTTTATTTGAGTTGAACTTTGCTGATATCGGTTTTCCCTTAAAGTGTAAATTTTCCTCGTAAAGATAGCAAATAGTTCGAATAAAAAGAGTCGAAATATTTGCAAATTTAAAGTGGTTTTTTAAATATTGAAGTTTTTACTAATAGCTAATCTTAAATCCTCAACTTGTTGATATTAACTGACAGTTTACCTCCTTGCAATTCAACACTTAATATCTTCTGAGGATGTCAATGTTTAATCCTTTTTTTTTTATTAAATTGACTGTGAATGCTTACTTTTTAAACTCTAAATTTTGTCCTTTTTCAAATTCAAAAGGTTGACTTTGAAATTCTTTAAATTTTTGCCTTCGAAATTTCTATTCTGTTGTTGTTGCCGGAAACTGTACGAAGGTTTGAAATTTTGGAATTAAGTAAAGACAGTATATGTCCCATTTTTATAAAGCACGGGCGCGAGGAAGATTCAAAATTTCTAAATATGCAATAAACCAACTTCTGATTTTTCAACATTATTAATGATGCAAAATATTTTCCGGTAAACAAGTGATAGAAAGGTTCAATGTTTAATCAATCAAAGAAGTTCCCATAAAATATAACCAATAAAACATTTTAAAGCATGAATTTGTAAAACGATTTTATTCAGTTTTGATAGCTGTTCACTTTTATCAATAAGTAATGAAATTTAATTGTTTATTAATTAAACCTGATTGGTCATTTGTTTTTTTTTTTTTTTTTTTTTTTTTTTTTAGGGCAAAAAAGGGGATTGAACTTATTTCGCCCCTTTAACACAAAGTATAACAAATGGGAATTTAACAGGTCTTGGGGCTTATCTCGCCCTGTATTTTTTTGCAATTGTCACTATTGCTTGCATCCTTTCTTGACTAAATAAAAAGTTCTTGCTGTTCCTAACATCAAGCCAAGTGTCAAAACTTCTTTTGATGTATTGGTACGTGTTTTTGTTCTGGTCTTTGTAGATGAAGTCGTGCAACTCCAAAGTATCGCTATTGACGAGCAGATACAAGTCGTTGTCGACAATATCCATCACATACATAGTTTGCGGAAGATCCAAGCATACTTTCTTCACCTTTAGTCCTTTGGTGTAGCTTCGAGCGTCTAGTTGTCTCTTTTTTCTCTCTTTCTGTAGAGTTTTATCCACTTCAGATCGACCCTCGACACCCTGTCGGGCGGGATCTACTTCTGTAGTCGTTCTTTTCTTTTTCTCTTAAGCTATAGTCTGTTTTGCTGATAGATTACTGTCTGTTTGCGAGATAGGTGTACCGGTATCCATATCATCATTGATGGCTGGTGTAGGTAACTCCTTTGTCTCGACAACCGGGGGTGGTGCGGTATGTACCTGCTCCTCGGTGTTTATTGTCGGTTCACCAGACTCTTGTTGTTTTCGAAGGAGGAAGGCTTGTCGTCGACGGCGATTCCTGTCTTGACGCGCTTTTGATGACCTCTTTTTCGTGATTGTAGGCTTTTGTGATGTTTGTCGCCATTTTATCTGCATGGAGTATCTTCCATTCCGTTTAGTTAAAGTCCAATCGGCGGGTTGATTCTCTACGAGTGATAGAACTGCTGTAATCTCCTCTGGTAGTTGGTCGGAAGTTTCCATTCTCAACTCATCAGTTTATGATTTAAGTATTCGACATTTTATTCACCTTGGTCTACAGGACATATAGTAAACACGTCCGTCCAGGTGAAAATCTACTCACTCACTTGATTGGTCATTTGATCTTAAATTCAAATTTATTATCTAGGTAACAAATTATTACTGCTGATTTATTTTCTTTTCATTTGCATAATTGTTAATTATCATTATTTCCTCAAATTAATTAATTTTTATTGATTAATATTCCAAACTAATTACGTTCTTTGATGTTTTCTAATTGGTAACCATTGTTTTCCAATTATCAATTACAAAGTGCTTGACTACTGGCTAGAAGCGTGTATTGAGTATTTAACTTAATTTATGTTGTTTTAAGGTCAAACTAACTCAAAAGATGGAATGTTTAATACAAAGAGATAAAAGAAGTCCCGAAAACCAATGGATTGAAAGCATTTCTCGGAGCTTGGTCTCTACTGTTTGTTTTTTTGCATAAATATGACGACGATCTCAGTCGAATTATCAGTATTTCTAAACCTCTGTTCCGAATTATTCTACAATAAAACAAGATGGCAGACATGCATTCCGTATGGCTCAACTTACCCAGACCGACACCACTACCATTCGAGATCACCAGAAATACGACAGTAGAAGAGATGCTGGGAATGCCAAATATCTTACCAGTCAAGATTACTACTACCGACCAGCAAAATCAACCAATGATTTCAGTCGCAGGGACTGTAAAACAATCCGTCTCAGCTTCTGAAACTTACCACCCTGTCTTCAGCATAATCTGCAATCCATCCTACGACAGTACCGAGAGGAAGTCAGAACTTCTGGAGAGCCGACTCCATTCATACGAGATAAGCTTCCCAACAGAGGTCGATGCTCTCTTTACAGAATATTACAACATAACTGCCGACATAGAGATGAAGAGACTTACTGCAGTCATGGAGTCTTCACCACAGTACCACTGTCGTATAAATCAATTTTTCAACCACCAACGTCAATTACTAATGTATAGAATAGACAGAAAGCTTAGCAGTCTGGTCAAACCTGCGACTTGCCATAATCAATCTACACTGAACTCAAAAAACTTCATGGTACTGCGAGACTGGTTCAACCAACATAGCCACTATCCTTATCCATCAAGGGAACAGATTAAGAAAATGTCAAAAATTTCCAACATTAAGATGCAAGACGTCAAAGTTTGGTTTGCATGTGAAAGAATACGCCAGTCATCAGCAGCCGTCCGAAAACTAAACTGACTTTATACAAACTCATGCATTATATTTATGTTGTAGTGCTAATTTTTAAACTAAAAAAAAAATTTTGTAACATTTCTATACAGTTTATATGTCCAATATGTTTTGTCGATTATGTATAGTGCTGATAAAGATTTGTTTAATTGTACTAGTTTTATTAAAACCCCATAATATAAGAGAAACTTTCTTACACATACGCTGAACATAAACCGCAACTTTGTTGTTTCCTGTATGGACTGGCAATTCCATCCGACTTTCCGTTAAACATTCCAAAGCAAAAAAAAAACATAATATACAACACAGACATTGCTGTACTGAAATGCATGTATTTTTATGATGTTATATTTTGTTGCACAAAAATATTAGTTTATAAACTTGAAAAAAGCAATTATTAATCAATACGAATACATGAAAAAAAGATGTAAGCGTTTAAACAATATATTTATGTTCAATATATATAAATTTTTTAACAAAAGGAAGACAAACGATATTAAACGTTATTTGCGACAATATGATCAAACTACAGATTAAAATGATATACAAACGCTGTCGGAAAATATATCTTTTATTTGTGCTATCTTTACAAACAGTAAGAAAGTCGAGACAAGAGACGACTAACGGGATTCTGAACGAGTAGGTTAAGAGAGTGAATTTCCCTCTATATTTCCACCTCGGTCTTTGTCATACATGCCGACTGCAGTAATTGAACTTATCAACTTTCGGAGAAAGTCTCGATTTCGAAGGAACTTAGAAATTTGGTCTAATAAACAATGATAAAAAGCAAACCTTGACTTTGAATTGTAGTTCGATTTAGAGTAAAAGTTCTAGTTGAAAATTCGTTAATGCATCCGGATATAAGCGCAGAGTATATATAATATAACGACGTACTGAATGTATTTGATTTTTTTTGGCATTAATACGGTTTATTTGGTGGTCTCAAGTATCATTACACTGTTAAGAAACAATGAGTAGTATTTAACAAAAAGGGGGAACAGAACGACTGGCAAATAACAGTATAATTCGTGACTCTACAGTCAATTTTATTTGAAAATTATAAATCTGATCTCGACCTAATTGTTCCGCGAATTGGTGATCTAAAACATATGCTTCGAATTCGAGGTATAAGTTTAAAATATTCGTAAAAGATTCCGCGAAACATTGTGTCTTGAATGCGATTGATACAGTCTTAAAGTAAAATGTCGACAGCCAAAAACTGAGTTCATTTATATGAAAAATACAAAGCCTGAAAATCAAATTTACTTCAATCATTATAAAAAAGTTCCGTCTACATTAGTTTCAAAAAATACTAACTCTTTAGGATATATCAGTGGAACCCAAGCGTAGAATTTGTATTGCTAATTGAGAGAACATCATGAACCCATATTATATGTAACCCGTACTGGCATAATTTCATTGCTCTTTTTATTCTTGGTCAAATTTTGACTTGTTCAAATATATATTATATAAAAGCGGTAGGAAGAGGGACGCACGTGCAATTAGTTCCAATATTAACTAATATAATCTATTTTAAACATGACAAATATGTAATCGATTTCAAACCCTAGCATGCTGATGACTTTCTTCTCGAATGTAACATGGTTATCTTTTTGTTTCTTATTGGATTAAATGAGTATTAAATAAATATATCAGTGCAACTAGCTGTCAGAGTTGATCAATTGTCATATGTTGTACATAATATACATAGAGACTACGAATGCATGTCTACCTCGAATTTTCACTCGAACTCAAACTCGAATTTGTAGTCTTAGGACTCGACCTCCAAACTTCGAAGTTTGAAAGTAATTACTCGAAACAAGTCACGAACTTTTACTTTACTACATGTTTCTGTCACGACGTTCAACTCGAACTTGTCATGTCCTCTCTAACCCGATGTTTAGACACACTCTTCAGAGTTTTTGTTGATCCTATTTGTTTACTTTATTACTCATATAGATATAAGAAGATGTGGTATGAGTGCCAATGAGACAACTCTCCATCCAAGTCATAATTTTTAAAAGTAAACCATTATAGGTCAAAGTACGGTCTTCAACACGGAGCCTTGGCTCACACCGAACAGCAAGCTATAAAGGGCCCCAAAAATTACTAGTGTAAAACCATTCAAACGGGAAAACCAACGGTCTAATCTATATAAAAAACAAGAAACGAGAAACACTTATGAACCACATCAACAAACGACAACTACTGAACATCAGATTCCTGACTAAGGACAGGAGCAAACAATTGCAGCGGGTTATGCATGTCAAAAACATCAAGTGATATTATATGAGCTAAAAGGACGACAAGGGTGTCGATGACTACCACTTAGAATGATAACATGACTGATATCCAGAACACCGACTCTTTGTAATCGACAATTTGACTGATATCCAGTATATCCACTCCTAGTAATGGATGATATGACTGATATCCAAAATATCGATTCTTTGTAATCGACAAAATGACTGAAATCCGGTTGACAGCTCCTAGTAATGGACAATAAAACTGATATCCAGTTAACCGGCTCCTAGTAATGGATGATATGACTGATATCCTGAATACCGACTCTTTGTAATCGACAATATGACTGATATCCATTATATCGATTCCTAGTTATGGATGATATGACTGATATCCAGACTACCGACTTTTATTCGACAATATGACTGATATCCAGTATATAGACTCCTAGTGATGGATGATATGACTGATATCCAGAATATCGACTCTGCGTTATCGACAATATGACAGATATCCAGTATATCGACTCTTTAAAAATCGACAATTTGACCAATATCCAGTATATCGACTCCTAGTAATGGATGATATGACTGATATCTAGAATACCGACCCTTTGTAATCGTCAATATGACTGATATCCAGTATATTGACTCCTAGTGATGGATGATATGACTGATATCCAGAATATTGACTCTATGTTATCGACAATATGACAGATATCCAGTATATCGACTCTTTGAAATCGACAATTTGACCACTATCCAGTATATTGACTCCTAGTAATGGATGATATGACTGATATCCAGAATATCGACTCTTTGTAATCGACAATACGACTGATATCCAGTATATAGACTCCTAGTAATGGATAATATGACTGATATCCAGAATACCGACTCTTTGTAATCGACAATATGACTGATATCCATTATATCGATTCCTAGTTATGGATGATATGACTGATATTCAGACTACCGACTCTTTGTATTCGACAATATGACTGATAACCAGTATATAGACTCCTATTTATGGATGATATGACTGATATCCAGAATATCGATTCTGTGTTATCGACAATATAACAGATATCCAGTATATCGACTCTTTAAAAATCGACAATTTGACCAATATCCAGTATATCGACTCCTAGTAATGGATGATATGATTGTTATCCAGAATAACGACCCTTCGCAATCGACAATATAACTGATATCCAGTATATTGACTCCTTGTGATGGATGATATGACTGATTTCAAGAATATCGACTCTGTGTTATCGGCAATATGACAGATATCCAGTATATTGACTCTTTGAAATCGACAATTTGACCAATATCCAGTATATTGACTCCTAGTAATGGATGATATGACTGATATCCAGAATATCGACTCTTTGTAATCGACAATATGACTGATATCCAGTATATAGACTCCTAGTAATGGATGATATGACTGATATCCAGAATACCAACTCCTAGTAATAGACTATATGACTGATATCAGCATACCGACTTTTTGTAATCGACAATATGACTGATATCCAGTATATTGACTCCTTGTAATGGATGATATGACTGATATCCAGTGGACCGACTCTTAGTAATCAGGGATATGACTGATATTCAGAATACCAACTCCTAGTAATAGATTATATGACTGATATCAGCATACCGACTCTTTGTAATCGACAATATGACATATATTCAGTTATATCGATTCTTTGTAATTGACAATATAACAGATATCCAGTGTATCGACTCCTAATAATGGATGATATGACTGATATCCAGTAAACCGACTCTTAGTAATCAATGATATGACTGATTTCAAGAATACCGATTATTTGTAATCGACAATATGATAGATATCCAGTATACCAACTCCTATTAATGGACAATGTAACTTATATCCAGTAAACCGATTCCTAGTAATGGATGATATGATTGATATCCAAAATACCAATTTTTTTGTAATATTATTCAGTATACCGACTCCTAGTTATGGACAATATGTCTATAATATGACAGATATCCAGCATACGGGCTCCTAGTAAAGGATAATATACCAAATATACCGACACTATCCTCTATAATATATCCTAGTTAAAACCATTAGTCATATATCCTGTGTACCAAAGCTAAAGTAAAACAAAAAACAATACGACTAATTTCCTGTTTACCTAACACTAGAGTTATAGGAAAAAATTACAAATATATTTTATATCATATCCTTGTTATGGACAAAATGACAGATATCCTGTATACAAAATATTACTAATGGACAATATGACATGATTCCTGTATATAAACAATACTAGTTTTGGACTAAGATGGATATATTTTAATCAGATCCTTCTTATATACGATGTAACATATATCTTGGTAACAGATTCCTAGTAATGGACAATTTGACATTAATTCTGCATGTTAACTCCTAATTTGTATACCAAAACTCAGAAAGGGTTACTTTATCATATCCTGTATGCAAACCCCTAGTAATAGTTTTCCAACTCCTACTAATAGACAATATAACTGATATCCAATATATCGATTCCTAGTAATGAATAACATCACAGATATCCAGTGTACCGACTCCTACTAATGAGCAAATATCACTATCGTACGGCGACCTATAGTTGTTATCATCTACTTTTTAGTCTCCGGTGGATACCAACTGTCTCATTGGCAATTATACCACATCCCCTTATTTTATATAGAAGTAATTTCCATTATCAGGTGACAGTTACGTCATTTTGACAAATTGTG